TTACGTGCGTTGTTCAGTGCATTTGCGAGTAACAACATGCATCTAGATAAGACAGTATTGCTAGCTTTAACCGTCGTACAATAACCAGGGAAAAGGAGAGATCGATGTACTGATATTTCGGCTACGTGCCTTTATTGAAACAAATAATATCATGCGCACTAATAGATGATAACATAAATGTCAGTAGTAAATTCAGAATTGGCTGCGGATATAGCTCGATTTTTCAGGTTGCTTTCTACGGGAAGCCACAGTTTTTACAAGTCAGCAGTATTCAGGGGATCACACGAGGAGATATTGCCGATCATTACTACGATGTATGCATATCCAAGTAAGGATTAAAACACGCAAAAATGCGTGGACCTGCAAACGAATTCAAAAGAAACAAGCATCACGCATCACACATCATTCGTGCACGCAAGCGGTGTAAAGTAAACAGGCGTCACGCATTACGCACCACTTTTACACCCAAATAATCTCAGTTGAACAGGTATCGCGCGTCACGCGTCAGATACCATCTAATTCAATAGGCAACAGAAACACGCCCCGTCGGACGACTGATTCTTCACACTGCCTTGCACAGATGAGCACTGGCTTTGTAAAACCAAACATATCGCTAGAATAAAAACTCCGCGTACGCATAGCTTGAACGAGCGACAACAAGCTAAAAAAGTCTGCGATGAAATGTCCATCTCAAAGTCTAATGCCCGGGACCAACAGGCGTCGTTTATGCAAGTCTGGGTTTGTAAGGGCCTGCACGCAAAAATAAATGTTGTTCACAAAATTAAGTGTAACCCGTGTCAAAAACATGCGAGGGGCATAGTTTATGTCGGGACTAAATGTGCCCTATTTGCCTGAGTTAAAATGAATACCTGCGAGAGGCTACAAAAAGGGAAAATATCCTTTCCGGTGATTTTTGTTTTGTTTTGCTGACAAAACACACTCAGTCTGAAATGAAGGGAGGTACGGCCCAAATTTCCTTTTAGAACCCAAAGCTATCTACAGACCACAGGACCATCCAGACAGCAAACTAAGTGAATCCATTCTTATAAGAAGTCGGCGTTCAGACATTAACGTACGGGCCTCATCACGACCGATTATGCTGATGTGATGTATGTCTTAATGCGTGATGCATGCTAGCTTAAAATATATTACACGTATGAGTGGAACCTGACGCATGATGCGCGATGCCTGCTTAATTAAAATAGTCTGCATGCATAAGTGATGCGTGATACGAGATGCCTGTTTGCTCGAGACCGGTTGCATGTATGAATGATGCGTAAAGCAGGGTACCTGTTTATTTGAATTTAAATTTGTTTGCATGTACACATATTTTTCGCGTATTCTCATCCTTGGTTCGATATTGTAGTAATAGCCGGCAGATGCTCCTTGTTGAATCCCCTGATACTGGTGACCCGCTGTTGAAAAGGCGGAAAAATCGAGTGGGATCGGCAGGCAATTCCTAAGAAGTACTGATATTCGTTTCGATAAAGACATGTAGCCAAAACATCAACGCATCTATCTTTTCTTTCCCCCGGTTATCCTACGAGGAATAAAGGTAACAACACTGTCTCATCAATTTCACCCTTGATGGAGAACCTCCAACTCTGTTCTAGAGCCTTGCCTCCTGCAGAGCTTTACTTTGCTGTCGACGCGGGGCCTCGCAAAATACTGCAATTTTGCCCCGGTGCACGAGGCATGTCATCTGGAAGCGCCTCACCAACACAACCCGCCAGAGTCATGCGAGTTAAACCATACAAGTGCACGCGGGACAGGACGGCAGCTTGAACGCGCCCATCGCAGTGGCTGCACCGTAACGGAGGACGTTTTTGTTGGTGGACGCCATTCAGTTCATGCTTGTCTTCCTGATCTGCTCCGTCTCGCTGTCCCATTGCTTAAGGGAAGAACACATGTGACTCGTGGGAACCCCCGCAGCCCCATTCCATTATTTCCGCTCCTCATTTTATGTGTTGTGCGGTCTCATGCTTTTACTGCGTGGGCACACTTCCGGACACTGACGCCTTGGTATCTTGCCTGTTATTCTCGACAATGGGCCGTTACAGCTAATTATGTCCCATGCACAGGTCTAGACAGGTGTTCTTCATTGCACGCAGGCTGCGCCGCTACGAACGCAGCTAGCGTGAGTCAGAAAAATACCAACGCCGTCAACAGACAATGCCATCCTCTGGCCACCCAGCAGCGAAAGGGTGCGCCACGACAGGCTGTCTGGGCAGCGCCCCGCGATGAGCCCCCTGCTGCCCATGCATGTCGTCATGCAGCATGGCACGGAGGCGTCTTTACGATGCTGCCAGCGGAACTGCTAAACGAGCATTATGACCAATTGTTTTAGCACGGCGTTGCCAGCTGCACAACAGTAGCCTCAGCCGCCCGAGATGTGCGTTACGTTGGGTGGAAGCCCGGTCGGGCTGACCGTCCCGTTGAACCGGTCCCTTACACGTCGTACATATGCCCGGGTCATAGGATCCAACAGGACGACTACGAAGTGTTTATCAACGGACCTTACCAATTTCAGGCTTCCCAGACAGTACTCACGAGCGTAATTGAAGATGACGTCAGTGGGCACAGCACACCCCTTTCAAAGTTTGTCACGCAGCCGGCGGCTCAAAGCCGCGGCCTGAGCATCGACTGTCGTTTGAAAAGTTCAAAAAAATAAAGAAAAGTTTGCGAGTCTGGCTGTGGGCTTGTAGCACTCTCTAAGCAAAAGCCACTGCGTATGCTCCAAGCTCAGCACCCAAGATAGGCCAGTCTAACTCATCTCTATTATGAGTTCAGTTCAAATGTTTATTCAATGAACCTCAATATACCAGGAGGAACTGGTTAAACGACGTTGTCTTCGTAGCGGTCATACTGACAGTGCTTAGTATTTCGACCTGTGCTCATCCTGAAAAGGATGAGTACAGCTCGAAATATTGAGTACCTTCAATATAATCGGTAAGTACCACAGCGTTGTTTAATCAGTACCTCCTGGTATATTGAAGGTCGTGTAGCTCACAAATTAGCGTTGGACTCAAAATGCCGAAAAACCCGAAACTGAAGACCTTTCTAATATCCAGTTCATCTCTCGTCGTTATGCCCAACTGCGGAGGACATTACGTGTGGTTGCGCTCGCGGGCACTTCATAAATACACATGGGACTTGTTGAGCCCTGTTGCTGTTTTAGTTACACGTAGACCAACTTTAACAATCCGATCCGATCCGATTCAATCCCATACATTCCTATCCGATCCGATCCGATTTGATTCGATCGGGTCGGATCGCGCGCCTGCGTTTCGGACACGATCCGACAACTCGTCCGGCCGTCATCGGCCACCGCCCAGGAGGCGCCGTGACCACTCGCGCTCCCCGGACGGCACCGTCCAGCCATACCGCCCGGCGTCGCCCTTCTCCAAACAGCGCGCCTCGCTCAGCTCCGATGTATTAGTCACCAAAGCGGCGGTGTCATGGTGCCGCCCACGGCCGCACCGGCACGCTGCCGCGTGTCGCGCTGGACCCCGCCCGGGTTTGCGCCGGCCAGCGCCGGTCCGCCGGTCCGCCGGTCCGCCCAGCGCAGGCCAGCGCCGCCGGTCCGGCCGAGAGCCAGTGGCACCGCTTGGTCGGCTGTGCGTTCAGCGTGTGCTCCTCAGAGACTTGCATATTCAGTGCCGCCAGCAGGCCCGGCATTCAAATCAAACGACACCTCGGATACAAAATGTCAGGCAGGGAGGGCCGCTCATGCGCTCTGAAGACGCGTCAGCATACAACGAGGTTAACGTGTCGCCAGCCGCTACATATTTGCATGACATCGGCAGGCCGCAGTATCGCACTATAAACAATACCAAACGCCACACTTCCACACTTCGTCTCGCTCACACGGGCCGCTCTGGGAAAATAGGCCGGCAGCGTTCTTTACGTAGCTTCCACCGGCCGGCGTATGGAAGCAGCGATGGTGATGGTGGAGCGCCATTTGGAAACAGCGGCAGCGAGGCTGGACCTCACAAGGACTGACCTGCCCCTCGGGGAAGCTCGTGAGGAAAAACGGCGCGGATGGCACTTTGGTATATCGGAAACGAACCAGCGCAAGGACACGTACACTCAGTCCCAGGCGAACTGAGACATTGGGACTGGAGCTAGCCAGGTCCCAGAAATATACGACAGGCTGTCACCCTCCGCAAACGTGTTCGTAGGGTCATAGTGCAACGTAGTGCAAACCATAGTGTCTCCACATAGAAAACAAATACAAGCGCACATTTCGCCTAAATCACGCATATAAACATGTGCAACACATCCTAAATCAGAAACGCATGCTATACATTGGGGGACCTTCCGTGAATCGGAACTACGTGACACAACGTTCCATAGATTTCTGCCCGGGGAAGGGCCAGTACAAACGTCCCGCAAGTGACTATCACAATCTGCTCCACCTGCTTACAATATCATTTGTTCACTGTCAGTGACGGTCGGGAGTGTCTTTTCCTATTCGGCTGGGGGCGGGGCTGCAGTCCCATCCTCTTCCAGCTCCAAGAAAGTGAGCCAAATCCATAGAAAACCCGTTTGTTGGTGTGTTTAAGGGAAGGCTGCGTCATTTTTTACTACTCAGCCCCCAAGTTATTTTACTATAATTTGCCTTTGATAACGGCGGAAAATACTCCTACGGGCTTCCACTTTTGAACAGAAGCTCAATACACCTCCCGGGGGTCGGAATACACTCATGTAACTACAAGACGACCACACAGCTGTGAGACAATCGCACGTCGGAGATACTTAAAACAATGCCAGGACACGACAAAAAAAATCAACAAAACAGTTATTCTGAGGCACGTTCAAAGTACACACTTTCAATTAAAATCAAGCGCATCGGCGCATGCGCAGATGAGCCCTGGGCGACGAGCTGGAGCGTTCTCCAGACTGGCAGACGCGCCCCGGATAAACAACAGAAACAAACGCGCCCGACCCGCATACGTCTCGGTCACTCCTTACTCCCCTCCCCCCCCCCCCCCCCCCGCCTCACGAGACATCGAGACACCTTGGCACGTTTGTCCGCTAGCAATTCTAGGGCAGAAATACTAACGTAGTGTGCTGTCCAGAGGTGCGAGCCGGCTGGCCGCGAAGACAGGTGCGGGCTTGGGACAATTTACGGACGCTGACAATCCAAGTCTGCTCTGTGTACTGGCATTACTGGCGTCGCCGTCACGAGGCGGCAAGGCGAGTCCAGAACGGCGGGACCCAGCGTCCTCCACCTCGACGGCTGAGTTCGGCTGAGGCCCCGCCATCGGCCGGTGCTCACTGGAGCGGCCGCATCTCGGTCTCCTCGTCCGAGTCCTCGGTGGCCAGCCGCTGGTGGCTGGGCCGGAAGCTCAGCAGACTCCGCTCCACCAGCCTGCGGCGGACCAGCCGCGGCCGTCAGCGTCGGCGTCGCCGGCGCTCCGGACGTCCCGAGCGACACACGCACGCGGCCGGCCGGCGGCGGTGGCGAGGACTCGCCGCGTCCGTCCGAGACGGAGGCCTGCGTGACAGACTTTAGCATACTGACACTACAAGACGGTTTGTTCGTTAGTTGCCCGCCAATCCACATCTGAATTCAAGAACGCGGTGTGGCTACAAAGCAAGCTTTTGCTCCACAAACCACTGAAAAGTCCACCAAACATGTTAGGCTTGTACGCTAAGCTTGGACCGCAAGCGATTTAGTGACAGTGAATCAACGCAGCAGGGATCGACGGGAGCGGCTCTCCGTGGGTGCAGTGGACCCACAAACCAAGACGCATGCCATGCAAATGAAGAGCGAAAGTGCAAATTTGTGCAAGAAAGGCAAGCAAATGTTGAATGACACCTGCCTGAATCCATAAAGGCCTTTCTCAGCATGCTGGTAACAATGTCAACATACTTTCTCCTTGCCTGTGTGTATGGTGCTGCATCATTATACATGTTATCAGATACCACGCATTCTTATCGCCATCCTCACTGCCGGACCGACACAAAGTGGGTGCAGCATTCACAGTCTTACAATGCGTGAATATTATTTACTGCATGCATGCATGAGGTTTAATCTCAACGGAAAACGACTCAACGGAATATCTCGACTTCTAAACACTGCTCCAGTTTTACGTACCATACTTTAAGGCTACCAGTGAACAGCCTGGGTATAAACACGCCTATGGGTCCACACGGTTGCCGGGGGGGGGGGGGGGGGGGGGGAGTCCAATGCAGCATCTGCATACGACGTTCATTGCTGCTGATGCTCCATTTGCGCGCGGAAGCATGCCTTGTGACCGCGTCGTTGTAAAGCGCCAGCCCGTAGGTGTGCTTTAGTTTTTTGTTTAGTTAAGTTTTTAGTTTTTTTTAGTTCGTAGTTTCTGTGTGGTGGGGCCGGTCTCGCCGGATCGCTTATGTATGGTCGAACCAATGTGGGCGGATGTTTAAGCTCTGTAATGTGCAGGTTCGCTTTCTGGCGTGCGGTACTCAGCGTGAGCACCATCCCGCGCCACGCCCACGTGACAATGAAGCAGCATCTTGCAACTGTTCCACGATCACTAGCCGACATGATAAAGACGGACATTTCCTTCCTTTCTGCTTCGATTTCAGTGCCTTTGCGGCATACATGGGCCATGTTGACCTCACCAACAGCCGCGGCATGCCTTGGTTACACGTCGACTGTGCCGTCAGCCGAGTCCAAAATCAAGCCAATCGCGGCTTGCGGCAGCGGACACCGACGCCGCACGATTCAGGCAACAGCTCACAACGGCTCCCCGAACATGACCGGCACCAGGCCAGCACAACTCACGGATGACTAGAGGTGACTGTGGTCGGAGAGAAGCTGCTTCCCTTCATCATCGGTGAGCGTCGACGCTCCCGTCGACCTGCTAGGCGGAGGGGGAGCTCATGCGAGTCGCGCTACTCACTGGCGATTATTGAAGCTGCCATGCAAGGCCTTGTTGGAGGCTGAGAGGGCTGTTAGAGATAGAAAGCGACGGAGCAGCAGCTGAAATGGGACCACCTGGGGGACCTTCAACCATGCAAGGCCTCAGTACCGCCACCACAAAGCCAAAAGGGAGCAAATAAAGAGCAGCAAAAGAAAATTACCACATCACAGCAAACTTCATGCAAATCGGCTACTCCCACTCCGCTAGTGCACCAGCCACCGCACACATAGCTGGAAAGAAAACCGGCTGTGCCGACTGCACCAGCGCCGCGCCGGCTCGATCTTCCGGAGACCGCGCCGCGCCGGCTCGATCTTCCGGAGACCGCACCGCGCCGGCTCGATCCACCGGAGACCGCGCCGCGCCGGCTCAATCTCGCGGAGACCGCGCTACGCCGGCTCGATCCACCGGAGACCGCGCCGCGCCGGCTCGATCTCCCGGAGATCGCGCCGGGCCGGCTCGATCCACCGGAGACCGCGCCGCGCCGGCTCGATCTCCCGGAGACCGCGCCGGGCCGGCTCGATCCACCGGAGACCGCGCTGCGCCGGCTCGATCCACCGGAGACCGCGCCGCGCCGGCTCGACCCCCGGAGACCCCGGCGCGCGCTGAACGCCCCCGGACGACGCCGACGGGGGCCCACCTGCTGAGGCTGGTACTGGTCTTCGGCATGCTGATGGTGATGTCGTCCAGGCCGCGGTGGATGGACACGGTGTCGGCCGAGTCGTGCGCCAGCGAGCGCGCCTCCATGGCCTTCAGGTACTCCAAAGTGGCCAGGCTCTCGCGGGTCGGCTTCTTGTACCTGCCATCGACGGCCGGGTTGGCAGGTCGTCACCAACATCATCATGAACGTCGGCACCATCATGAGCATCACACTCAGCATCGTACCATTAAATCATCAGTGAAATCTTACTATGAGACATGTTGGTACAAGGACTAGCGTGTAACTCACGCATCTCCTCTAACACAAGCAGCGGCCAGATCCACGCGGCGGGAAGTCAAGAGGTCAAGAAGGTGAAGCGGAGGGTCAGAAGCACGGGACATTCAAATGCGGACAGAATCGTTAGTGGAAACGATAAGGATCCAGAAATCGCCAGTAGCCTGGTCGCCACAGCACGGCAGCCTGGACAGTGGACACATAATAGTGGACGCCCCCGGCATCCCTGGACCCCGCACGGGACGGCGCGCACGCTCAATATTGCACGCCAGGAAGCGGATCTCTGTATGTTAGAGCCGAAATGTCCACCCACGTTGCGCCGACGGTACATACCCGATCCGTTACGGAGTCGCGCACTAGAGACAAACTATGTAGAAAACGCCAACGGGCCGACGGCTTAAAAACGACGCGTTCACAAGACGTGTCTTCGGACGCCAATGGGACAGCCGGTGCGGCTACAGCAGAGCCGGCGGATCTGCCCCGACAGCACTTCCGTTCGCGAACTCACAGCTTGAGCAGCAGCGAGGAGCAGACGACCGAGACCGAGCTGAGAGCCATGGCGGCCGAGCCCATCCACGGCTGCAGCACGATACCCCAGGGCCGGAACACGCCGGCCGCCAGAGGAATACCTGCCGCACGGAGAGGAAACACGCTGAGCTAGGGGGCGCGGCCCCACTGGAGCAGGCGCACGGGGCACGCCGTCGACAGAGAGCGGCACCGCTGAAGTCACGAGTGCGACTGTGTCATCGGGGGGAGGGGCGGCGCATTCAGCCGCGTGAGGCCTGTCAGAGCGGTGGTCACCCAGCCGAGGGGTGCCCGTCTCGAGCGATGCTGAGTTGAGATACGTCTTGCTGCTGGGGTCACACCGAGCTCACAGGTTCGGTGCTTGTCACGGTGTCAGTGCGTATTAATCCGAGGGCTGCCTGCGCGGACATGTTAATGGAGTCACATTCGTATCATATCAATGACCTGTGACCGAGCGTCACCATTACCTGAGGGATATCAGTTAAGGGAGGAGGCACATCTAGCCGAGGGAAACCACCGGCATAATGGCACACGAGGCCGGGAGATGTGGGCCACTGTCAAATGCAGGGCATTGGGTCGCTGGGATCACAATCGGTGTGCAGTGGGAGTTAGCTAAAAAGAAGCTAACGTACCGACGAGGTTATAAATACTGGCGAAGACGAAGTTCATTCGTATCCTCTTCACTGTTCTTCGCGAGAGATCGAGACAGGCAATAACGTCGAGCAGATCGTTCTGCAAGGAAAAAGACGGGTGAGCAAAGATAAGACATGAGATAAGCAAAGATTCGAACAACCACGCTCTCCATCGGGTCCTCTCAGTCGTTTTACCTGGTGCGTGCCCTCCGTGAGCTTCCACTTACAACGCTGTTTTAGTAATGAATAAAAACCAAGTTACGAGGACGGGCCAGTCCTACACACCAAAGACGGCGAGGTATCCTAGATCAGAACAAATTTGTAATTTATGCCAGCTAAAACATGTAAGAATGGGTGCAATATGGATGTGACGTGAACGCACTGGTGTGACGACCGTAACCTTGCTAAAAGAAACAGCGCCGTCTTCTTCACGCTTATGTCCTACAATACACGACAAGGGGCACCTAATCATGTTCCAAATAACACAAACCCGAACACTGACCACCACAGCTGGCCCACGCCCACCAGTCTTCCACAAAAAACCGCAGGTGGCGCAGAACGTGCCCCGATCAGCAGTCCAGCTTCATCGTCCGACTGCGCTCCTAAACCACCGCGGCAATTCAGTCCACAACCCTCCTCCCCCCCCCCCCCCGCCCTCTTATGCAAGCACCAACCCTCACCTCCCGTGGATCCCATCCCCGCATCGCACGCCGTGCATGCCTATCCGCCCAGCCCCTCACCCATCCAGCCAGCAGTGAAGGGGCACCCGCCGCCCAGCGATCCGGTCCCGCAGCTCGCGGGGGACGCGGCAGGGGGTCCGACGGCGCCACTGACCCGCATGAGCACGATGCTGGCCGCCTCGACGGCCACGTCCGTGCCGGACGAGATGGCGATGCCGACGTCGGCCTGCGTCAGCGCCGGCGAGTCGTTGATGCCGTCGCCCACCATGGCCACTCGCTGGCCCAGCGACTGCAGCTGCTGGATCTTCTTCACCTGGGCGGCCGACCGCGGCGGCGGCGTCAGTACGGACGGGGGAGCGGCACTGGGTTCGAGTGCGGTACAGGGACCGCCAGATGTGACGCCACCTGGGCTGGACACACACGGTCCGTTCGCGAAAGAGGTATATGTAACAGGAGCCTGCTCACTCACATGAGGCCTTTCATCATGAGAGCAGCTGGAGCCGACACGCGATAGCATGCCACGCAGCGCTCATGGCGCGGCGCGCGGCTTACGTTTGCTCGTGGTGGTGTTACGTTTGCTCGTGGAGAAATATAATAAGGTATTAACATTTCCTTGTGTTAAGGAGTGTGCTTAATTATGTGTTTCGACAGTTTTGCATTCATATACGGACATCTTATGGTATTTGGTACGTCATTGCTATGATAGAGGGTATACTATTAGTATGGTCACGACATCGCATGACATATTGTCTGGCCATATTGCATATATGAATGCAAGCTGATAAAAAGCCGCACAGTGCATGAGGAAAAACGCACCGGTTCGCTGCATAACGCAGCTGGAGTAAAAGGACCATTGACGAATACCCCCGTCTGACGCAATCACCAACAGCCGTCTCTCGCTGCACAGGTGGCACGCCAGCAGAGGTCACGGACGCGGCAATGCACCAGCGTGTATCGATGCGTCCCCTCTCCCACCACGCATTCACACAGGCGCCACATCCCAGACAACGGCACACCAGCATGCTGAGAGTGACGACCCAGCACGCCGTGTGAAGGGAGCGGAACCAAGAGGAACGCGGCGACAGGGAGGGAAGGGCACCGCGGCGGCCGGTCACCTTATGCGACGGCAGGACCTCGGCGAAGACGCGCGAGATGCCGGCCTGGCGCGCGATGGCCGCTGCCGTCTTCTGGTTGTCGCCAGTCAGCAGCACGACGTCCAGGCCCATCCGCTTCAGCGTGTACACGGCCAGGTGCGCCTCCGGCTTCACCGTGTCAGCCACGGCCACCATGGCCACCAGCACGCCTGATGTAAGAGGACATCATCGGGTCACGGTAGGCCTGAGGTCGGAGGACGTGGTCAGGTCACGTCCGCCTGAGGTCAGAGGACGTGGTCAGGTCACGGCACGCCTGAGGTCGGAGGACGTGTTCAGGTCACGGCACGCCTGAGGTCGGAGGACGTGGTCAGGTCACGGCACGCCTGAGGTCGGAGGACGTGTTCAGGTCACGGCACGCCTGAGGTCGGAGGACGTGGTCAGGTCACGGCACGCCTGAGGTCGGAGGACGTGTTCAGGTCACAGCACGCCTGAGGTCGGAGGACGTGGTCAGGTCACGGCACGCCTGAGGTCGGAGGGACGTGGTCAGGTCACGGCACGCCTGAGGTCGGAGACGTGTCAGGTCACGACACGCCTGAGGTCGGAGGACGTGGTCAGGTCACGGCACGCCTGAGGTCAGAGGACGTGGTCAGGTCACGGCACGCCTGAGGTCGGAGGACGTGGTCAGGTCACGGCACGCCTGAGGTCAGAGGACGTGGTCAGGTCACGGCACGCCTGAGGTCAGAGGACGTGGTATCAGTGGTCAGACGGGGGTCCCTGAAGCGGGTTAGCGGTGAGACCGGCGCGTGGGTGGTAGGGGATAGGGGCGCTCGGTCGGAGCTGACTGGCTAGGGCGGCGGCAACAGCGAGGACGGCCGGTCCAATAGGCCGGTCCAGTGAGTTCGTCCGGACTGTACGACCAATGCGTCCTTTCCTGCCTCGAGAGTACCATGATGTAAATCGCGCATGAGTGTCCGATGCAAACGACGCGATAGACAAAACGCAAGACGACTAGGCGTCGGTCGATCAGGTCGGCGGCGTTCCCCACAGCGGCGACTGAGCCCCCACCCGCAGTAATCCGGCAAACGGAGCCCGAGTGGGCTCACTGCCCACCGCGGCGGGGAGCGTCACAGCACGGACCGTCGGGGTGGGGGCACCGCCCACACCACGGGGACAGTTACGGTCGGGGTCCTTACGCCGTCCTGTGACATCCAGTCCTCGGCGCGGACGTTCAGGGTCCGCCACCAGGTGAGCGGCGGGCACACACTAACCGGCCCCCTCACCACCGTCACCGAGGTTCACACACAGGCACCCGAGACTCACCAGACACCTCACCGTCGCCTCTTACGCCCAACATCCGCATCCCACGTCGACACAGCCGAGCAAACACCGCCTCCCTCCACTCCCCCACCGCGCTGTCACTGACCGTCGACGGCGCACAGGATGGCGGTGCGGCCGCGCTCTTCCTGATCCCGCATGCCGGCGTCGACGGCCGCCGGCACCTCCATGCCGTTTTGGCGCATCCATTCGCGGTTCCGATCAGCACCTGGCGGCCGACCCGGGACAGTGACGTCAGACCGGCGGCCGGGCCCGCGACAGTGACGTCAGACCGACGGACGGGCAGCGCCGACGCCAGCGACAGCGGGGCGGCGGCCACGACGGGTGACACAGACACTACAGACGCTCACATAGATGAGACAGTAGCATTAGCCTTATACTACTGTCTCATCTATGTGACTAACGTTCCTCACTAATGCACTGAACAACTTAAAACAGACGCTCCATCGAGTATCAGCCAGGGTCCTCAGGCCCAGACTCACTTTTCAGCTGTTCATGTCAGCGCAGCCACGTTTGCAGCCCAGCTGGCACTGGTGGCGGCCGCCACGCGGCCGGGTGAGCACCTCACTGACCTTGTACTCGCGCTTCTGCGCCGCGTTCAGGTCGAGCAGGTCATCGGCCGGCGGCCGGGCGGCGCCCACCTCCGGCAGGAACTCCACCGTTCGCCTCGTGCAGAGTCAGCGCCGCCTTGCTCGCCGGCCCGGTACTGGTAGCTGGCGACACAGGCGCCCGCCGAGGTCACGTGAGGCCACGCCCGGACGACGAACAGGAAGCCTGGGCCCCCTGATAATCACCTTGACATGTCAGTGAACAACTTCTTGACACTGCATCATCACTAAAAAAACAAGTTAAGTTCCTGACGCGCGATGAACTGATGACCACAGTTTGGATAACTGACGGCTAACTGGCCAGAGGTTGGCCGAAAGCAACGCAAACACCCGTCCAGAAACCACATCAGCTGCTCCCATGGCCCCGACGAGCCACGTACCCGGTCGGCGGCGAGAGCTGGTTCAGCAAGTTGGTGACGGCCTCGGCTCTCTGGCCGGCGGCTACCAGAGCATCGATGTAGAGACGACGCAGCTGACGCCGAAGCCGGACACCGCCTGGAAGCCGTTCGCAGGTGCCGAGCGCGTCCACCGACAGCGTCTCCTTGACGAAGCGCACGATCGCTGCAGGCACGCGGATGGTCAGGCCGGGGTTACCGCGTGGTCCGGGGGCGGGCGAGGGCCGAGCGCGGAGCAGGTGGGCGCGGCCTTACGAGTGACGGCAAGGAGCACCTTGGAGGTGCAAGGAGCACCCCGCGTTTCTCTGCAGCGAGGGTTACGTCCGTTTCGGGTCCCGGCTCCTCTAGTGCGTACCCCTCCCCCCCCCCCCCCCTCCCTCGGCTTGTTCGGTCGCGCGCCCCAGAGGCGAGCAGACACCGGCGGCGGCCGTCCCAGAACGAGCAGACACTGGCGGCAGCGACCTGCCGACGGCGCTGTACGCCTCCTGTGACCTCGACCGGAGCCCGAGACCTCATGTCACTCGACTGGGGTTCGGTCAGTGATCTGCACCTCATCGCCGGGGGCGCGACGGGTCTTACATTCCACCCGAAGATGGAAAACGAAAATCTAACGATTACTGGGCCGCATGTGTTCTTTTCGCGCCTCGTCGGTACAAGTTTGTCACTACTGAATTGAACGCTTAACGCGTGTCGCTAAAGTCGATTATAACCCTGCGTCGTGTTTTTATGCCATTATAAAAGCTTGCGTCCAAATAAGCCCGGAATTCGAAATGCTCTACAACAGCCATAAATATGCGGACATGACACATCAAATGTCATAAGGGTCTCCGACTGTGGCCAGAATTGTCAGTGTCGCCATTCCACGTTGGATGCTTGGCAGTAGATGTTATTACGTAGACGTTCATTGAGGGACGGTGCTGGCCGGATGCAGGGTAACGGACAATGTACACCCATGCTGGAAATGCCTCATGTGTCAGCTCACCAGCCAATGGCTGTCAGAGAGCCGGATCACAAGCGCACGTGCAAAACACGTCAATGTGACAGTGACACGATGTAGTCAAATCTGCATCAAGTCCGGTATGCCATAAACCCAACTGTGAGCTACTGAACAGAATCGAGAGAGGAAACGAACGCCACACATTTCCCCCGTCGGCAAGACAGTGCTGGTCGCAGCACACTACTCAGCCAGCCACAGTCGCGAGATCTCCCCCCTCAAGCATCTTCTTCTTGTTCTTCTCCTCGTGTCGTTACCGCGCCCCTCTTACCGTGCGCGATGGGGTGCTCGCTGCTGGCCTCCGCTGAGGCGAGCAGCGCCAGCAGCCGGGCCAGCGGGCAGGTGACCTCGTCCACGTACACCGCCAGGTGGGTCAGAGACGGCAGGCCGCGCGTAATGGTGCCGGTCTTGTCGAAGACCACACTGCGCACCTGGCGGACGGGCGGAGAAACACCACATCAGACGGACAACGGATGGACATGTCGAACACCGCACTGCGCACCTGGCGGGATCGGGGCCACACCCGGCCCAGCCCACCGCCCCCTCCGCCGGCGCCACACTCGGCCCAGCCCGCCTCCTCCTCCCCCAGTGCCACACCCGGCCCCGCCGACCCCTCTTGCCGGGGCCCACGTGTACCTGACGCGACCGGTGCCACCCCCGGCCCAGCCCATCGCCCCCCTCCATCCTCACCACACCCGGCCCCGCCCACCCCCCTCTCCCCGGGCCCACAATGTGTGCCTGACGCGACCGGTGCCACCCCCGGCCCAGCCCATCGCCCCCTCCATCCTCACCACACCCGGCCCGGCCCGCTGCCCTGCCCAGCACCCCTCCACCGGCGTCCGCGCCATCAGCCCACCTTGTGCGCGTTCTCCAGAGCCTCCGCGCCTTTGATGAGGATGCCATTGAGTGCGCCGACGCCGGTGCCCACCATGACGGCGGTGGGCGTGGCCAGGCCCAGCGCGCACGGACAGGCGATCGCCAGCACGGTCAGCGCGAACCGGAACGAGAACTGGAAGATGACCTCGTCGCGCGTCTCGCCGTGCACCGAGGTGCCCTGCCGGCCGGAGGTCGCGCCGGTGATGTCAGCCGCGCACCGCGAGAAATGACCACGCGGGTGTGGAGCGGGACAGACGGCGGACTGCCCTGCGTGGCGGTCGGTGACTGGGCTCGAGTGGCCTGGGAACGCTGAAGCGGCAGGGAGAACACATCAACACAGGGCCCTGGGCTGACTTTGACAGCCACCGGCATTAATGACAGCCATCTTGTATTGAACATCTGTTGATTTTTTAGAGAATCGCACACAGACCCGCAGAAAATTTCACACAATCAGCCGGCGTTAGAGATACAACCACCCCCAGCGCAACGTAAACAGCTTCGATCAAACTCGAGGGGGATTTTCGGCCAGCTCTGATTCAAAGCCGGCCGGTATCGAGCGCTTGAACCCCGCACCGTCCGCCGCTGACTACACTTGCGACGGGCATGCGAGCGCTCACGTTGAAGTGGGGGTCGATGTAGTGGATGTCGACGTATCCGGCGATGGTCCAGCCGATCAGGGTCGTCACCGAGACGGACACCACGATCGGGATGAAGTAACCTGCCATGGGACCGGGAAAACTCGTTAGCGGCTCCGCTCCACCGTTCAGCAGCACCGGCCCGTGCTATCCGAGGCACAGTCTGACGCTCGCCAGTTTGTGCAAACCCATGGCAGCCAAACTACGCTCCAGACCGAGTTATTCAGCGGCAATCGTAACGACTGGTCCAGTCGAAAGATTCCCACAGCGAGGAGCGAGCACACCCCACGAGTGCGGCTCCTTCTGCATAGCTTAACACGTGAACAGTCCTCTACAGGCGCTGGGCACACCAGCTAGGCCAGCGCACGGGCGAGGTGGGCGGTGCGAGGGGGCCGTGAGGTGGCCATGCTGAGGTCCGTTGCTAACTCAGCCTGCCTTCCGCCGTGCTGGCCGGCCGCTGGCAGCTGGACCGGTACGCGTTGAAGTCACGAGGACAACGACAGAGAAGAGGCGCGACCACCTCCTGCCGCCCAGACGACAGGCGTCGGCCGTTGTGCCAGTGCACGGACAAAGGAGAGCACGGAGGGTCGGCGCGGTTCAAGATGGTCCAGGCGGAGGTGCAGACCGTCGACCGACCTGCCACGCGGTCGGCCAGCTGCTGGATGGGCGCCTTGCTGGTTTGCGCCTCCTCCACCAGCTGCACGATCTGCGCCAAGGTCGTGTCCTGGCCCACGTGCGTCACAGTCATCAGCAGGGTGCCGTTCTGGTTGATGGCGCCGCCGATCAGCTGCGAGCCTGCCGGACACGGCGTCAGACGCAGGTTTTAGCAGGGCAGGGCAGGGCAGGGCAGGGCAGGGCAGGGCAGGGCCTCATGGAGGGGCACGCTGGCCAGCGGACCACGAGCTAAGGCAACCAAGGCTGATAGCGGGCCGCCCATCTGGGTACGACTGAAGGTCCCTGAGTCCCAGATCAGGCCGATGGTCGCGCTATTGTAGCCCCTGTCAGCGGATGACAAACGTGGCGAAAGGGTCAACATGGTTCAAGCACGGCCCTTCAGAAGAGCTACACAAACAAGCTGGGCTGTATCAAAGTAGACACTGGTCAAACACACCAGCATCAACACAGAGAGCTATCCCGGTACGATGCACACACGAACAGCATAGGACGCCGCGACGCCGCCCGGCCTGCGCATCGCACGGGCCGAGGTCAGGCCAGCTCAGACAAGCCGCCCAAGCGTCTCTCCAACTGACCGAGCAAAAGGTCCCTCCATCGCCGTGCCCATGCTTAGCTTCAGCGCACTCCCCCCCCCCCCCCCCCCCCGCGAACGCCTCGCCCCGGCTGGAGCGGCCGGCACTGACCTGGCTTCTTGGCGACGGGCATGGACTCGCCGGTGATGAGGGACTCGTCGCAGAGGGAGTGGCCACTGAGGACACGGCCGTCCACCGGCACCTTGGCGCCGGGCACCACCTGGCGGACACACCACAGTCAGGCCCGCCGCTGAGGACACGGCCGTCCACCGGCACCTTGGAGCCGGGCACCATCTGGCGGACACACCACAGTCAGGCCCGCTGCACACAGGCACCGCTGCAGCCGTCGTCCGACGGGCTTTCATGGTGTCAGCCGCTTGCAAATCGCATTGTCTCCTCCCAGTGACACGCAACGCGTCGTTTCAAGTCTCGCCAACGAGAAGCTCCGCTGCCATCAGCGTGGTAGCATCGCTGCCGACCTTGAGGATGTCGCCGCGGTGTACCAGCTCGACGGAGATGCTGTCCTCTGTGAGCACCTCCCTGTTCTCCCCCAGCGTCACTAGCACCGCCTCAGTGGGCTGCAGCGAGATCAGCTTGGCCAGCGCCTCAGACGTCTTTCCCTGAGGGTAAGCGCGCGATGTCCGTGTATGTGGTGTTCGGGTGCACGGGGAATGGAAACCGCCGAGCAGCGCCAATGCTCGCGGATGGTGAGGAACGGATACAGCGGCTGAACGGAAGGTGCGTCCGAAAAGGACGGCGACGGCAGCGGCATCTACAATTTTATGAGATTATGTGAACTGGCAGAAAATCTGGGAGAGAACGATCACCGCATTGCATGCATGGGAGCAGCCACCACTACCACAAACCACAGCATAACGTGATTGCAAAAATCACCTACTAATACTACAATCCACTGAAACCACAAGTATGACTACCACCAGGCGTAAATCTCATAATTCATCCCACAATCCTCCCCTACCGGTCGTCGTGCCCACTGTCCACAGCATCGACGCTCCACCCTGTACAGTGCTTGACCACCACCATCGCCCCCCCCCCCCCCCCCCCCCCTCTGACAGCCCCAGCCGCCACAACCCATGCAACGCGCGCACCCCTAACAGCGCCGACCTCGCGCGGCCACCTTAGCAATGTGCTCGAGCCACCGGCCCAGCGAGACGAACACCAGCAGCATCGGCGGCGTGTCGAAGAAGGTAAGCGGGCTCGCCGACTCCTGCAGCAGCATGGCCGCCACCACCACGGCCACCGAGTACACGTACGACACGGTCGTGGCCAGCATGATGAGCACGTCCATGGAGGCGGCGCCGTGGCGCAGCGACTTCACCGCCGCCACGTAGAAGTGCCGGCCGCCGATAAACTGGGGGCGAGGCGGGGCGTCAGCGCCGCACGAGCACGCCGTCAGGCACGGCGGCATGCGACAGGGACGGAAATGGGCTCCTGTGGCAGGGAGCAGGATGCACGCATTGTGGGTGCAAGGCCGTACGGGTGCTTTATTCAGTGTCTGCAGCAGCACTGGTCCATCAGCGTGGGCTGAAGGCCGGGAGTGTTCGACTCGGCGAGCATGTGCAAATGAAACACGCTTGGGTAGATCCAGCGCCGACGCCCAAAACAAACGGCATACACGAGATGGTAACCCATACGGGACGGGCCAGACACTCGAAGCCACGTAGACCCGAGCAAAAACATATTTATTTGGACTGAATGTGGATGCCTAAAACCGCCCAAGCAGATCAATATACACGAGCGCCTCCCTTCACTCCGGAGCCCACCACGAAACCGGTCAAAATCCGCCCGTCGCCGCCCGCACCCCGGTCCAACCCAGCCGGCGAGGCCACGCGACCCCGCCCTCACCTGCACCGGCGTCGAAAGGATGAACATGAGCAGGTTCTCCATGGAGAGGCCGGGCACCACGCAGCACATGCTGCCATGGCCGAGCCGGCGCATGCGCACCATGAAGAACACCATGATGAGCATGCACGGCACGCCGAAGAACAGCGACACCAGGAACGAGTTGCGCCACTTGGCGATCTCCTCGCGGTGGTCCAGGTACGACGCGCTGCCCTGCTTGCCCGAGCGGAGCGCCGCCTCGAAGCCCAGGTCCTGGCCAGAGAGGCAGACAAAGCCGTTGCATTCTACTGCATTGCAGATACAAGCCGCGCGGTTGCGTCGTGGTGTGTTGAGAGAGGGACCCTACTGCTGCTTCAAGCGGCCACAGGCGGGCGCCGTTGGCCAGCCGGGCATAACGTCAACAAGTCCCTTGAGTTTGGACGATCATCAGGCGGCGGGGGGAGCGGAGAAGGCCAGCTGACGGACCGGAGCGCTCGGCGCCCCGCACACCCAGCTTGTGCCAACACAGGTCAGCCATACGTCCCGGGGCAACCCCGGGCAACACTCCACGGCCGGCTGAACACGGCCAGCACTACATCATGTCCTTCACAATGGGCGTGCAGTGCTGCTCAGCCCGTCAGCAGGACATCATAGGCGGTGGTGACACGGCGCTACGCCCCGGGACAGCACGCCACCTGCGGCCGGCTGTGCAGTCGGCACGACAAACCGACACCCCTGAAAACCTCACCATCTGTGGCGGGATTACGAACAAAGCCGAGGCAACAGGGCAGTACCGACATGTCACTCCTGACACCACTGGTGCCTCAGCACCTGCCGTTCTTACGACGGCTCGCTGCGACGCCTGTTTTGTATCGCAAAATGATTAGAAATACTCCGCGGGAATTATCGTGTTTCAAAGTAGTTCTAGATAGCTGTCGGTCTATCTTCAAACATGTCTGTACCTCAGCGTCGTGGGCCGCAGCGGGCTGTCCCTGCCCGGAGTCTCTGAAGGAACATGAGGGTAACGGGCAACTGGCAAATCCGAGCGCTCACACGAGTCGGCCCACACCACCACCCAGCCCGAGTCACTCCAGCGCCACCCAGCTCCGCTCGCCACTCGCCCTGCACTTCCAGCGGGTCGCGCACCACCGACCAATCCAGCGCCCTGCCACACTTGTCAACAGGACCCGCTGGCCGGTGCTGGCCCCGCCACCGCCCACCGCCGCCGTCGTCTCACCTCGATCGCCTGGATGATGTCTCGCGGTCCCGTCTGGCCCGGGTCGAACACGACCCGCCCGCGCTCCGTCGCCAGCGCCACCGACACGGACACCACGCCCGGCCGCCGCACCACGTTCGTCTCGATCGTGTGCACGCACGATGCGCAGGTCATCCCGCGGATCTGCCGGCCCGGGGTCAGGGGCGGTCAGGGTGACGGGGTACACATCCGGGCTGCTGCCAGCTGACGCGCGCCACGGCGGCGGGCCGGCGGCCAGCCGTAACCGAACACAAACGCTCCCAATTTGTGCCGAATCAAGGGACGGCTTTTCATTCAGCACTCGTGCAGAATATCTTCGCTGACAGCACCTTCATCAGGGAAATGGGCTTCATTCGTGACCGGCGTTCGCCGCCAACTCAGCGCGCTGTCCCACACTCAAGCCCACGCCCACGCCCACACCCCCACCCACGCCCATGCCCACGCCCGCGCCGCTTGGGCGTGGGCGTGGGCGTGGGCGTGGGCGTGGGCGTGGGCGTGGGCGTGGGCGTGGGCGTGGAAATGCCTGAAGGTATTTCAAGATGTAACCGCAATAAACTGAACTGAACTGAACTGAACTGAACTGAACTCCGTGCACGAGCGTGTGCCACCGCGTGCCGTGCCGCCACGCCGCCTACCTCGAGGTCGAGCGTGCCCTCCGGGCTATGGTTCTCCAGCAGCTGGGGCCGGGAAGCCAATGTCGGAGATAAGGCCGGCCACCTGCGAGGGCAGCAGCACAGCCGGGTCGTACTGCACCTCGGCTTTGCCAGCCAGCAGCGCCACCAGGATCGATTCCACACCTGTGGCCGCGCGAGGGGCGGTCAGCACGAGCTTCGGGGTGCACCAACTACAATGGTCACACGGCGGGTCAGCATGGGAACGAGCCACTGTTTGCGCACTGGAGAGGTGGCTTCCCCTACCCTTCGACCTACGCCCAAACGGTACCACGGTGCGACTGAATGCCAACAGTGCGAAGAGAGGAACGGGAGGGGATTCCTTGAGCCGACGGACGCCCAAGCCACCAGGCTGAGCTTGTGATGCTGGCATGTTGACCCTACCGTTGCGGGGTTCCTTATTGTTCGAGAAGCCAAACACAAAACGTTGCGCCTTCCCGCACCTACAACAAATTACGAGTCAAAAGTTTCGTCACTGCGCCTTCTTCAGCGCAATGTGCACACGGCCACAAGCGCACTTTATTGATTCGGTTACGCACCAGTCTGCCAACCAGCCGCACCTCATGAAACCCGACCCCACGCCCGCGCCCGCGCCTGCGCCCGCGCCCGCGCAAGCTCCCGGCACACAGTCGCAGCCGTACTCACCGTCCACCTTGTCCATGTGCTTCTCGATGGCGCTGACGCAGCTGGCGCACGTCATGCCGCGGATGGAGACGGTGCACGTCTCCAGCTCGTCGGCCGCCGAGCGTGTCGACTTCCCTGGACTGACGGCGTCTTCTCCGGGCCTACGGGTGGCGCTCTGCGGCGAGCGCGGCGGCTTCGGCGGCGAGCGCGGCGACTCACCCGGCGCGCGGGCCGAGAGCAGCGCCTGCCGCGGAGGCGAGTCCGACCGGCCGTCCGGCCTTGTCCTGCGCGGGTCCTGGGGACGCGCAGAGGTGTGAGACGGTCGCTGGCCATCCATGGGCCCTGGGGACGCGCAGAGGTGTCAGGCGACTGTCCACAGGCCCTGGGGACGCGCAGAGGTGTGAGGCGGCCGTCCACGGGCCCTGGGGATGCGCAGATGGTGTGAGGCGGCCGTCCACGGGCCCTGGGGACATACAGAGGTGTGAGGCAGCCGTCCACGGGCCCTGGGGACGGAAGGGCCCACTAAGCCGTGCGACCGCCACCGGAATCGGGGGGAGTGGCCAGGATAATGTGGCTGACAAGGCAGCGACACGCAGATGGACATGAGGACGGTCCTATGTCTACTCTGACCGGTCAAGTGTAGATATGTTTGCCGACCGAAGGCACCGAACGCTGGCAGGCATACCATCTACAACAGCTGCGGGCACACGTTTCCGTAAAAGATGTCGGAAGTTAACAAGTAACGACAAAACTTTGCATAGTTCCCCAGCCAAACTTGATCCTTTCATGTTAGAAATCCTTCACTGTAAAACGAGGGTCCACATCCCAGCTCAACGACAAAGACCACTGGCTGGGAACGAACGTGGAATACACCAACCACGCTGCAAGCCAAGACAAGATCGTTACCATTCCTCGACAGCACGTCAGTCATGCAGACCTGTGGAAGATCCATCCGACGGTGGCTTCACGGCGGCCCTGAACTTCCCGATGCCGTTGACGAAGTCCTCCAGCGTGCCGGGAGAAGTGACCTGCGGGTTGTAGGTGATGACACCCTCCTTGGCCTCCAGGTCCACCTGCGGAACGAGAATGCGCGTCAATCCGAGTACCTGATCGAGCGAGGTGCTGGCGACGTCCTTCAGAGCGAGCGGCCGCTGATGGCGGCACATCGGCGGAATGGCCAAACGCTGGCAGGTCCACACGTCATCACTGCTCGCAGACGGCGGTCCCGCCAGAGGGCACAGCCCGCAAAACGGGAACACTCCCGGCACGCGGGGAGCATCGCAACATCGACCACCGGCAGCAGCCGCTGTGGCGTCGACGTTTGGCGTGGGAACGGCCCCATCTGGACAACCCCACCACACGACCCATGACATAGACAGGAACGAGACGGGCCAGCTCCTCCCTGGCCGTGACGTTTCTCTGGCGACACCGGAGAAAGGCACGGTATCTGGGAGCGTGGCGGCCGGGCCGGCGCCGCGCTGCAGCCGGTCCAGGCCCCCTCCCCTCCGGCCGGCGCCACCCATATCCGTCCCGGCAGCGTCCCTCATACCGGGGAGCGCGGGCGCAGACTAGCCGGCGATATGAAGCGCAGACATTTCCATCAGCGCCGCTCAAATGGCGGCACTGGCGCGCCCGGGCATGCGACGATCACTGAGCACGTGCATCTGCGCCCAGACCACGTACGGGACAGCGGGCAGCGCCGCTCTGCCCAGAATATTTTTTGTTCGATGCTCACGACTGTCGAGCCGTGGATTCCCGGCTTTCCCGGCTGGTTCATGGCGGCGGGAATTTAGTTCAGGGTCTGGTCGCGGCACTGCGACGTTACGCGAACCCCACTTACGTGTTTTGAAGTATCCCAGCAACGCGCGGTAAGTTAAGATCAGTAACGTGTTTTGTGATGATCAAACGCCCTTGTCACTCCAAGGCCAACGGCTGTGAATAATTGACTTCTGTAGGAAGGCGCTGCCGTTGGGCCGGTCAGGTCACTAGGGGTTATATTTGTTGCGCTGCTTGAAGCTGGACTCGCCAGCAAGTGGCCTGGCTCGTCATTACGGAACGCTAATGGAACAATCCAATGTGCTTGAACAATGATCAGGCTACGCATGAGGAAACGGGTTCTTAGGTCTCTAATTGCATCCAGTGGTTCCTCTGGAACGCTCGAAAAAGTTTCTAACGTGTATGACAAAACGTTCAGGCATGATTCACGCACATTCTTAACTTTCAAATAAGGCTAGGCTCTCTATGATCTGGCGCATGACACTCCCTTCCCGGGTCATTGCGCACTTCAGTGTTGATCGGCACACATCGGAACGCGCACCAGACAGACGCCGGGCGCTGCTGGCCCGCCGCCGCACCTTCTCCGGACGCCACGGCGGCCACCACCAGGCGCCGTCGCACCCACCTTGACGCCGAAGCACCCCCGGCTGGGCGGCCACCTTGCCCTCGATGTTCCGCACGCACGACTGGCAGCTCATGTTCTCGATGGCCAGGCGGCACTGCAGCTCGGCGGCCAGGCGCGCCTCGAAGCCCATCTCCTCCACCCAGTCGATCAGCTGCTGGTCGGCGAGCTCGGGCGCCACCTCCAGCCAGCCGCGCCGCCGCCGCCAGGTCAAACGCGCACGGCGCGCACGCCCGGCCGCCGCCGACCGTCGCCTCGATGTTGCGCACACACCGACTGGCACGTCATGCCGCCGATGTCGAGCACGACCGTGCGCGAGGCTCCGTCGCCCGCGCCGTCGCCGCCGCCGCCGGCCGCCGCCGGCAGCGACGCGTCGAAGCCCATGTCGTCGATCATGTCACTGTCGGGAGAGGGAGGCGGGCGTCAGGAAAGCGCCGGCGGCGGCGGTTGTGACAGTCGGGGTCGTTGCAGCATGGAGAGAGCGATGTTAATGGGGAATACTGGCGATGAGCAGCAGCACCCGGCGCTGCTGTACGGTACACCCGCGCCCCCGGCCGTTGATCCCGGCCGCTGCCCCCGGCCGGTGTCAAGGGCTGTTGTCGCCAGCTCCGCCATCGCCGCGCCCGTTCTGCAGGCACGACCAAGGCGAACCCGTCCGGCGCCAGCGCACCGCTGCAGACAGAGGCAGCCGGGGACGGCAGGCGTCGCTCGTCCCGTCCCGACTGCAGCCGGGCCGGGATCACCGGCTCCCGGCCGGCTGCTGAACCCCACCGACGCTGGGGTGTAGATCACTCAGCGGGCAACGACATGCCACAGCACTGCCGCGAAGGTCAGTCCGGACGCCTCGTGGACGGGCCGGCCTGATACCGACATTCAAGGATGATGATCTATTAGAACAATAGCAAAAAAACGTATGATCGTTGCCTATACTACGCAGCGCCCGGCAAGGCATGCCTGTATGAACCGCCAAGTAACCAAGTACCTGAAGCGGCCGTAAGTCCAAACTATCGTCAGATCGCCATCGCCTGTACACGATCGATTTCCGGGTAATTTTGTCCCTCTACGTCACAGGAAGGTATGACGATAAGAAGATGCCGTGCGTTGGTAACCGGTTTTGCAGTCTAAATTACAAGGAAACGTTCACGACTTAAACGCGGTCTACTTTACACAGTCCCTACAGCCGGCTCGTGCCTGACCCACGGAGGGAGCAGCCGAGCCTGGAATCAGCAAAACTCCAACCGAGTCAGAATGGAACGACTTCCTTCCGTCAGACCGAGTGGGATTCAGTCCACCGTATTTGCTTGAAACCGGCCCATCGCCATGCGACTCAGCTGGAGCGGGTTCGAGCACGAGCCTGCCCGCGCGTCTCCTGTGCAATGACACCCCGATTTGAAGCAGACCCGCCACGGGCAAATGAAACAGCAGCAACCATGCTCTCATTTAATCACATGTAACCGTTACCGCCAATGGCGATGTACGTTCTCAGTCCGCTCTTTAGTGACTATGTGGCCCGTCCAATACGCAGTGTAAACGGGAATAACACCACTTAGTTCGAAAACGAGTATTTTTCGCGCCGACGCAGCTGCATGCCCTCCATCTTGGACCTGACCAGGAAGTTGTGACGCGCGTGGGGCAGGCCATGGGAAATAGCACTGAAAACCCGTGGACCATGACTCAACAGCATGGAGAGCGTCATTCAACGACTTGAAATAATCGAGCATTTCGTAAGGAGGGCAGCGATGAGGGAGCAGCTTTGCTCCACTGGTGGCAGCCAAGATGATGGCGCCAATAATGCAAGAACCGTTTGTGCGTGGCTCAGTACAATCTAAAGTAAAAAACATATGCTGATAAGCGCTGTTGGAACCAACTGACATGTCTGAGAGTCACCCAGTTTAATTGTACTTTCGAATGGTCGAACCGATCCTCACTCTGTGTTTCACTTCACTCAGAGCTTTCAACGAACTGGCCAGGCGCTTGGTACGCGGACCCCGTCTTAAGCCAATATGCAGCACCCTCAGAAACCGGTCACGGAGAGGAAATCCAGGCTCCGGGACACGAAGCTGGCCGGCTTTACCCGTCCAGCAGGCGGCCCGCTCGCGGCCAAGCAGGAACGAGTCAGCCCCGTACGGCGTCTGGATGCAGGCAGCCGCAGAGCCCTCACACGACGGCTGAGACCAACCACAAGACCGCTGGGAACCGAGCCATCTGCTCACTATCCGCTCATGCAGTGTCGTCCGACAACGGCGCCCGTGTCGTCCGACAACGCCACTCGTGTCGCCCGATAGCAGCGTCCGTGTCATTCGACAACGGCACCCGTGTCGTCCGACAGCGGCGCCCGTGTCGTCCGACAACGGTGCCTGTGTCGTCCGACAGCGGCGCCCGTGTCGTCCGACAACAGTGCCCGTGTCGTTCGACAACATGCCGTGGTCGTCCGACAACGGCGCCCGGTCGTCCGACAATGGCGCCCGTGTCGTCTGATAACGTGCGCCCGTGTCATCCGACAACGGCGGGCCGCGTCAGCCGACGGTGGCGTCCGTGTCGTCCCGACAGCGCCGCAGCCTCACCTGGTCGGCCGCAGCCGCACGTATTTGGAGCGCACCATCGCGCCGCGTCACCTCCCCGCGCCCAACAACGGTACACTGACGCCGCGTGCAGACGGAGCGAGCCGCTGCCACCGTCGCCGCCGGCCGGGCGTGACGTGCCGCTGCTCCGGCAGCCGACTGGCTGCACGTGACGGCGGCCGGGGGCCGGCGCGGTCGCCGCCTCCCGCCTCCCGGCCCTTATCAGTGCGGCTCGGAGATACGGTGCTGATGTGGTCACGGCTGGGCGAGGGAAACTGGCAAAACCTTCAGAGGATGCGACATTTTAGGGAGACTGTGCGAATGAGGTTTTATCAGTCGCGCTCGACACATGCACTGCGATGCATACGGGGGTTGATATGTGACGGGCAAACAAACGGCCGACTAGACGAACCACTCGAGCAACGTTAAGGAAAGAGATGACAAACATTACGTAAGCCAACACGTACACCGCTACACGAACAGCTTAAAACTGCAACGACAATATAGTGACTTCCGGAGGCGGATGCACGCGTTGCATCATTCCCTACTGACATTTCGCACGAAGCCAGCTGACACTTCGCGCCAGGCCGCCTGACGCTCGCACCATACAAGCCGATGCGCAGCGTTGGTTTGCCGCGGGCGGTACGTCACCCCAACACATCACTCAACGTAAATCGGCGCGCCGGGCTGCGCAGGGTTGACGCAACGCTCAGCTCAGTTCGTTCAGTCAGTTCAGCTCAGCTCAGCTCAGCTCAGCTCAGCTCAGCTCAGCTCAGCTCAGTTTAGCTCGGTCTCCTCAGCTCAGCTCAGCTCAGCTCAGCTCAGCTCATCTCAGCTCAGTTCAGCTCAGCTCAGCTCAGCTCAGCTCAGTCAGCTCAGCTCAGCTCAGCTCAGCCTCAACTCCAGTAACGCTCACCTCCTCCCGCTGAGCCCCCACCGACCGCCGTGCGGGCCAAGCTTTACTAAATATAAAAACACCTTTGGTAGTTACCGTTATTAAGGGAGGCGAACCGGTCCTCGATAAAGCACTGAGTCCAGTTTCGTTGACAGCTAAAAGGACTTCAATATGCACGCGACAGAGGAGATTTCAGCGCTCATTTCATTCATCCTTATAAATCATTGGGTTATCAGCCCAGCTCTTAATGGTACGTTCAGGTTCCAACCTTGGCGTTGCTGTGGTTACAAGTCAGGGTCATTGAGGTAAGACAGCCTTCAGCAATTTTTGGAAGTATTGGATTTTAATTATTCTGGTTTGTATATATAGATATATATATATATATATATATATATCTATATCTATATCTATATCTATATACATATATACACACACATATATATATATATAATATATAATATATATATATATTATTATATATATATAATATATATATACATCACGGAATAGCTCTTTTCTTTAGAAAAGCCCACATGGTTTTTAGGAGCATCCTAAATATTTTTCTGCACGCGTATTAGCGAAGTCCCACGAAAGCTGTCACACTTCTCTGTTCCCGGCATTCAGAATCCTTAACAGCCACACAAGCTTTAATAGCGTACATGTCCCCTATGAGAAAAAACATCAACCAATGAGCGTTAAACTACGTGCGTAACATTCTCTAGTGAAGAACGCTGGCTACAAGCTTCAAATACCTGCACAAAGGTAAGTGCATACAAGCTAAAGTCACTATCAATATTGCAACGGCGGCTCTCCCCTCTTCGCTTCCTCTTGCTCTAAACTCCGACATCAACATTAGCCCAATCTGACTTCCTCAGCAGCGCCCGGCCAGGACAGCCTGGCGGAGGCCGCCAGCCCGCCCGCTCGGCGCCGTACCTGTGGGCGCCGTAGCTGACCGGCCGGTCCGTCAGCAGGGCGGCGCGGTCCCCGCGGGCCCGCCGGCCCCTTCCGCGGGTCATCGGGACCCCCACTCCGCCGCCGCCGCTGCCGGCGAATCGTCAACACCGACTAAGGGCGCGAGCGGGCAGCGTCGGCGGCGGCGAAGGGCCGCGCTCCGTCGCGACCCCCGGAGGTCGTGCAGCCATCGATCGACACCAGCACAAGGCGACGACCGCCGACAGCTGTCCGCGTCACTTTCTCGCGTGGAAGAAACGTCAGCGTTCGCGCCACTTCCTTGCGCAGACGGAACGTCATTGTCCGCGTCACTCTCTCGCGCGAGGGGCACGTCAGTGTCCGCGCCATTCTCTCGTGCGGACGGCACGTCAGTGTCCGCGCATTCTCTCGTGCGGACGGCACGTCAGTGTCCGCGCTACCGTCTCGCGCGGACGTCACGCTAGTGTGCGCATTACTCTCTTGTGCGCACGGAACGTCAGTGTCCGCGTCACTCTCTCGTGAGGGCGGCACGTCAGTGTCCGCCTCACTCTCTTGCGCGGACGGCACGTCAGTATCCGCCTCACTCTCTTGCGTGGACGGCACGTCAGTGTCCGCGCCACTCTCTCGTGCGGGCGGCACGTCAGTGTCCGTAACATTCTTGCACGGACGGCACGTCAGTATCCGCGTCACTCTCTTGCGTGGACGGCACGTCAGTATCCGCGTCATCTTGCGGCGGCACGTCAGTGTCCGCGTCACTCCTCGCGCGGACGTCACGCCAGTTCCAAGTTGCGGCACGCTGACCCGCGTTCCGCGATGTGTAGGAGCGGCATACCGATTGTGCAAACCAACTGACCAGATGTCTGTCTGCATGTTACGAAACATCAGTTTTCACCGTGTGGAATGTCAGTGCATGGTGGAAACGTTAGTTTGCACGGTGTGGGGCTAAGTACGACACCTAAGATGTCCCAAGGTCAGAGGAGCGGCACAATAGACCACAAAACGCATGAAAAACTCGTACTAGTGTATGATAAGACATACAAAGCTTGCGAATTCCCCCGGTGAAAAAAGCAAGCAAAAATGATCGCAAAAACTCACAAACGGCACATCGGATCGTTTCGCAGGCTTTCTAAACCGCAGGCTGACGGCACCACGACGTTAGACAGACCGTCAATTTTCAACTTCATGGAGCTTGCCTGCGCATACGCACCGCTCATATTCGTTGCGGATTCATTTCTTCGCGCATTCTTTGTTCTGGTTTAAATTTTTGCAAGCGAGTGCCTTATGCGATGGCAGCTCAGCTGAAGGCCCCAGAGTGGCAAAAGACACAAACTGCACCCGTGCAGCATAGGCATCGCGTTGCACGTTTGGAAACTTTACACCTGGGTCTGGTGTAAGTCTGCCCTGGTACAGGTGCTCTGCTGTGCCCCACAGCGATTCACACGCGCCGGTGCATTTAATTAAACCCGGCCGTAGAAAGTACGCGTGGACTGGTGTTTCAGAGACTCAGACGCTTCATTTTGCCAGCGCATGCCGGACGCTTTCTCGGTCCCGTTTGAGCACACTGGGGCAGTAAATAAGGGCACACACCGTAGTGTAATCAAAGGAAGTGCCACCATTCATTGCTCTAATAATTTGTTTGTGATGTCGCGATTACGTTGTACATCGTCGGATTGAAGTGACCGTCCATCGTTTTGCCGTCCTGCCACTTGCAGGACAGCATGAGACACGCAGGTGTGGTCACTTAGAGGGAATGCTTCACTTTTGAGGACATTGAAGCAAGCATCTGTAGTCGGTGTACCGTTTGCATTTCTAGTTTGATTTAGTGCTCTCTTCTCGTTTGTTGAGTCACTAAGTTTGTTGTATCTTGAGGTCTAATTTAGTGTTATTCAATCCATGCTATTTTCGTATTAATTTTGTATTGCTAATTTTAGTCTCTGTTCTGTCTGTTTCCGCTCTGTTTAGTTCTACGTCTGTCTGTCCGTTTCCGAGGTTTCGTTGTTTCCCTGTCAGCGTCCACGAGGAGTCGAGGCGCGGTGTTGGCGATGGGCGGTCATGGAATATAGTGCACCTGGAACCTCGGTGTCTTCGACGTGGCGGCCGTCCACACATCAGATATGATGAAACCAGCCTACTTCTAATTATCGGTAACTAATTATCTAACAATTTTTTAAAGTGAAAGATTGTTCTAGATCGCACCATTCTTTGTTTAGTTGTTTAGTAAATATGCCCCTCAATGCGTCATGGTTTGATTGCGTCATCGCACCTTACGCAACACTTATTGAGAGCCAATTGATGGCCGTTATATCTGGAAATCGCGCTCACGAATGCCAGGTATGAATATCTCGACAATTATTTTATGCATGGCCTTGATCGTCGCATGGCTTATGAAATGGCAGGATTTGAATGACTTGAATGACTTTGAATCATGACGTCGTGAATACCAACGTGACTGAAATACTCACCCCGATATACCCTTCCCATTTTTGCAGGCGTGTAGCCCAGAAACTAAAAGGCAGAATTGTGAAAAACACCGAAAGTTTTCCAGATGGCTATTCAGTTCAAACCTCCATATAAATGTAGAACACTACCTTAACCATAAAACCTTAAACGTTAAAATATTAAATATAAATCTTAAACGTAACCATAAACTCCTAAGCGTCACCTTAGCATAAAATCTTACACCATGCCACCCACCCGTGACACTATAATGATTGTAATCAGCCGAATAACGTGTCGTGGTCCATTAGCTAATGGATTAATGTAGCGGGGCTCGTAAAGCTGCACACCGACAGAAAACAACAGCTTTCGTTGATCTAGTTTTAATTTGTGCAAACGCAACTACGAACGAACAACACTAGAACAATCAGTGATTGTCCGCAAAGCTGTTTATCATGGCCTACGGTACAGACTTGGCCGGGCCAGACCCAACGAAGGAGCCTGGTGGCGCGGTCCCATCGTGCCGGCGCCGGGGCGGCGTGAGACCGGCGACAGGGCGACATGGGACGAGCCAGGTGACGGCCCCTCTGTAAACGCCGCACCGGCTGCACCCGACACTGCGTCTGCCGACGCCGGGCGCTCGTGAACGGTCGTGTCGGGCGCAAAAATCGACGTTGAATGCCGCGGAGACTCGCCAGGACACCCGTGCACACGGCACACAAACGACGGCATAGCCGGGTGCAGGCAGGCGTTACTGGCAGCGGCCGGAGTCGCAACAGGCGGTGAGTGCACACGGCACACAGCCGACGGCGTAGCCCAGTTAAAGACGCAGGCCGACACAGCGCCTGCAGGCGTGCTGAGCGACGGGTGCACACGGTACACAACAGAGGACAGTCGGGTGCACAGCACCGACGCTGGCAGCGTCCAGAACACGGAAGCGATCATTGCGCCTGGCACACCGCACGGTGCCGTGCGTCAATACCAATGCCGCCTGGGGGCGGAGACGTGCGCTGTGATCAACCGGTGCGCACGGCACGTACGATCGACGGCGACGGCGGTGCCGGGTGCAAACCCTCGGCAGACGCATGGTTGAAGGCACCCGGCGGGGACGGGCCTGACCCGAGAATCAGCTGTGGCGGCCGCGCCATTGTGACGCCGTGACGTGACGGTTTCTGAAGACCTGCCGCTGAACGCGCCGCCGCCGCCCCGCCAAGCGGAACCTGAGTGGCGGTGCGGCACTCTCCCGTCTCAGGGGCTGGCGCGCTCCAGGACACTCGCGCGTCAGACGCTCGACGCGGCGCGATGACTCGGACGCGGAGAGGCCCACCAGCTGTGTGAACGTGCACTGGAGCGGACGGCGCCAATCGCGAACGATGGGAAATTTCTCCGCAATGATTACCGTGGGTTGTGGATACAGTTCGAATGCACCAATGCAGCAATGGAGCACTACGACCTGCACTCGATCAATTCACAACATGCGGGTATTGTTCGATCCCTTCAGGTGACGCCACCGCCATCTAAAACGGCGCTCGTTCCCGGACCAATTGTAGCGTTTGCGAGCGTTACCAAAGCAGTGTGTGTGTCGTGTGTCATGTGTCGTGTCAAGTCGTGTGTCAGGTCGCAATCTGCGTCGAGTATGCAATCTGTGACGTGTTCGCAAGGTATACCCAATTTCAATACCGAAGAAGTCACTCTCGCTCATAAAAGTGAAGAACATAGCGTCCGGACGCCAGGGGCCCCGCGCACGGACTCCCCACAATGGCAGACAATGTGGCCTCATTCGTAAGAGCCAGATGCAGCAGATACACAACACACAGGGCAGCAGCATGGTAAGGAGGGTTCAAAGCATGACGCCGGCGTCCTTGCCACCCATCCCGGCCTTCCCGTCGCCACATCATGCGGCTGGCTGCCCACGTAGCCCACACCACACACCTAATCCATCAGCAGCCGTCTGTGGACACCTCGCGCGGCCGACGGCTACAGTACCGCTGCGGTATGCCCTCGTCCACACAGGTGCTGATACGCGACACCACCGACGGGTCAAAGGTCACGGTGACGAGGGCGATCGCTATCACAGCCCAGGTCACCAGCCGATACGTGGAAACTCCAGTGGCCGGAAGCCAGCCCGGAGAGCGTTTTCACAGCGGAACTGCGCGACAGTGAAAACACAACATCCGCTGGCAGAGGCCGGTGTGGCGCAGAAGTCTCTCGCCCACGTGGAGAGCCGGCGCTGAACAGTCAGGCGCAAGCGCGACAAACGAAATGCCCGTCTGTTCACAACTATAAATAATTTTGTCCCGGAAATACCGCGTCGTAGTGGTATTGCTGAGTGAACTGTCTTATTTCAAGCAGGGAGAGTACAAATTCGTGCAAAAGCTGACCCTGGTCCGTGACCCGACACGTTAAGGGAGCATGTTATCTTGTTATCGGCATGCATAATCACGGGCCACTCGTCCAAGTATCATCTAACGCGAAGCGCGCTACACGAATAAAAAACGGGGATTGAATATCACCAGCAAGGTTATCGGCGGGTCAGAGGTCAGCGGCGCCGCCAGTACTCACCATGCCTTGCGGTGAGGTCAGCTGCGGGTCGAAGGTCACGGTGGCGCTCTCGTCCGGCAGCGAGACGACGATGGAGTGGATGCCGGCGTTGTCGCCGACCGTCGTCTCGATGTTGCGCACGCAAGACTGGCAGGTCATGCCTGGAATGGACCGGGCTGCGCTTCAGACATGCTTTCACGCCCGACCGGCGGCCGCTCGATACAGGCAGGGACGGGTGGGATGTAGGTGAAGCGGTGAGCACCACTTAACACCGGCGCGCATACGCACTCAGAGGTAGGGGACAACCAGATACAAATGGATCCTGGAAATCCACGGGAGAACGCATCAGTTACGATCTATTATAGTGAGTGAGTGAGTGTCATATATATATATATAATAATATATTATATATATATATATATTCACGCCCGACCCGGCGGCCGCTCGATAAGGCAGGGCGGGTGGGATGTAGGTGAAGCGGTGAGCACCACTTAACACCGGCGCGCATACGCACTCAGAGGTAGGTGGACAACCAGATACAAATGGATCCTGGAAATCTCACGGGAGAACGCATCAGTTACGATCTATTATAGTGAGTGAGTGAGTGTCATATATATATAGATATATATATATATATATAATATATATATATTATAATATATATATATTATATAATATATGCCTATGTGTGTGTGTATGTGTATGTGTATGTGTATGTGTATGTATGTGTATGTGTGTGTATGTGTATGTGTATGTGTATGTGTGTGTATGTGTGTAGTGCATGTGTGTATGTGTATGTGTATGTGTATGTGTGTATGTGTATGTGTATGTGTATGTGTATGTGTGTATGTGTATGTGTATGTGTGTATGGTATGTGTGTATTGTGTGTGTGATGTGTGTGGTGTGTATGTGTGTGGTGTGTATGTGTGTGTGTGTGTGGTGTGTGTGTTGTGTGTGTGTGTGGTGGGTGTGTGTGTGTGTGTGTGTGGTGTGTGTGTGTGTGTGTTGGTGTGTGTGGTGTGTGTGTGTGTGTGTGGTGTGTGGTGTGGTGTGTGTGGGTGTGTGTAGGTGTGTATGTGTGTGTGTGGGTGTGTGTGTGTGTGGGTGTTGTGTGTGTGTGTGTGTGGCGTGCGTGCGTGGTGAGTGCGTGCGTGCTGCGTGGCGTGCGTGCGTGTGCGTGCGGCGTGCGTGTGCGTGCGTGCGTGTGTGTGTGGTGTGGTGTGTGTGTGTGTGTGTGTATGTGTGTGTTGTTGTATGTATATAGTAGCCCATAACTTTTCCAGTAATGCATAGAGCTGTTGATAAGTTGCAAACGCAACAAACTGCCATGCCATGGAGCCCGAGCACGAAAATACGCGGGAGCGATTCGAGCCCAGACTTCGCAACCATTATCCAGTAAAAACGAACAATGGGCATCCATCAAGAACTAGCCAGAAGAAGACAACTTGCACATCAAATTACTCCAGCGCATTGTTTGACAAAAACTCGTACATGAAACCGAGCGCATGAAACTGGGATGGTACGATGCGGAGATGATGACCACTGGTTCCGTGGCTGGCTTGAGGACCGCTCACAGCGTGTCGTAGGTTGTGAAACGCTGCATTCCATCACCTGCCCTCTTTTGTTCACCGTGGTCAGGTCATCGTGCATGCCGACGGTACGCAGTTCTTCGATGCGGATACTCAAGCCAATGTTGGCGACCTTCCGGTAGGGAAGGAAACAATGCTGAGCATTGCGCGTAACAAGTTTACGCAAAATTGTCTGGAAAAGGCTCTCGTGAGAATAAACCCCTCCCATAAAACTTCCTCGACTTTATCACAGCAAAATGTTATTTCCGCTTTGGACACGCAAAATTGCCACCTGATGTAGTACACGTTCTTGGTGTCACTTTTAACTTCAACTCAAATTGGAAACGACCAACAAATGCACATGTAATTGTAACATGCTGGGACAATGTTCTACCAGAGCACGGGAGATTGTGCCAACAGCTACCATTGGAAACAAACACGCCCAAATGTAGGGCTTGATCACCCACACGTTAGACGCGGTCTCGTTTTCTCATTATAGGATGATTGCACATAAACAAAAAGAAAACACAGGATTCAACACAAACACTCAATTTTGACGCCAGAATCATCGCTGGGCTCTGGCGATCACGACACATAACTATCGCACTGAAAACATACCCGCGTCTAAAAAAGTGGCCTAGCTTTTGACCGAGCGTGGCCTATCAGCTCTCGACCGTCTCCTGATGTCGCAAAGCACACCGGATAGTTTGCGTAAATTTGTGGCGTCACGCTGACGCGTTTGTTCGGAACCACGTGGGGCTCTGAAAGCCTACTGTTAAAAATTTCACGTGTCCGTACCGAGCTCGCCCGCAGAACTTGTGTCGCCGAGCCACTTGTGCCTGGAGTGGTTTAACGACAAATGTTACCGCCGTGCCATCGGCTAAGCCTTCCGCGCACCAGTCCTCACC